CCTCTCATTTAGGCACTTTCACAACACTGGCCTCCCTTGTTAATTTTTTTCAATTTGGAAAGCACATTGCCATTCTGAGCTCTTGCACTTGTGTTTCCTCTGCCTGGAGTTCACTTCTCCAAGACATTTGACTCACTATCTCTCTCATTTCATTAAATTATCTGACTTCTCTAATCATTTCCATTATGCCCTATACACCTATTCAGCCTAGTTTTTGTTTCTAATACTTATTACTAACATAATATATATGTGTTTATTATCTCTCTTACATTAGAACATAAGCTCCCCATAAGGGCAAAAATATTGCCTGTTCACCACTGCAGTCCCAATACCAAAAGTAGGTTCAGAAACATGTGGCAATACAAAAGTATATATTGAATTCATTAATAAATAAAAACTAAAATCAAAATTATTTAAAAATTAAAATTCCAACCCATATATTAATTCATTGCTTTTAATATTGTTTATTCATGATCCATTTCCCCTCTTTCTGAAATACTTTCTCTTTTGAAATGCTATCTCTTACCAGTTGAATATAACTTCAGTAAAATTGTAAATTATATTGTACAGTCCCCATCAGCATTTATTCAAGAGGTGAGTATTGAAAACAAACTACAACAATCTGACTCCCTATCCTTGAAACTAAAGTGTGAGCCTAATAACCCCCAATCAAAAATAGTTGTACCTGATTGAGTCCAATGTTGTACCAATGCTGGAGAGGGTGTGAAGAGAAGGGAACCCTCCTACATTGTTGGTGGGAATGTAAATTGATACAGCCACTATGGAGAACGATATGGAGGTTTCTTAAAAAAACTAAAAATAGAGCTACCATATGATGCTGTAATCCCATTCCTGGGCATATATTTGGAGAAAAACATGGTTCGAAAGGATACATGCATCCCAGTGATCATTGCAGCACTGTTTATGATAGCCAAGACATGGAATCAACCTAAATATCCATCAACAGAGGAATGGATAAAGAAGATATGGTACATATATGCAATGGAATATTACTCAACCATTGAAAAGAATGAAATAATGCCATTTGCAGCAACATAGATGGACCTAGAGATTGTCATACTGAGTGAAGTAAGTCAGACAGAGAAAGAGAAATATTGTATGATATGCCTTATATGTGGAATCTAAAAAGAAGTGATACAAATGAACTTATTTACAAAACAGAAACAGACTCACAGACTTAGAGAACGAAATTATGATTACCAGGGGGGAAGGATGGGGGTAAGGGATAGTCAGGAATTTGGGATAGACATGTACACACTGCTATTTTTTAAATGGATAACCAACAAGGACCTACTATAGAGTACAGGTAACTCTTCTCAATGTTATGTGGCAGCCTGGATGGGAGGGAAGTTTGAGGGAGAAAGAATACATGTATATGTATGGCTGAATCCCTATGCTGTACACCTGAATCTATCAAAACATTGTTAATTGGCTATACTCCAATATAAAATAAAAAGTTTAAAAATTTAAAAAAGATATCCAGAGGTGCATATCATATCCAGCATCTAATACTTCTTCTCCATTTTGGGAGCTATCCAATATTCTTCCACAGGTTCCCCCTCTACCTCCTCCCTTTTTGGGGTTGTTTGTTTTAATTAGCCAGAATCGGTTTCTGTTGTTTACAATCCAAAACTTAACTAACACATATGATAAGCTCATATTCAATCTCATATACCTCAAAATACAAAATTTAACAGAAAGTTTCTCAATTCTCTTTTTTCTCTCTCTCTTCTCTCCCTCCCATTGTCTGCTCTCCACACACACTACCCTATTACAGTGTACTGTAGTTACTCAAACCCTTCCTCTATGATGACATCCCCCATACGTTTCCTTTGCAACAATTTTAATGTTTCAACATCATTTATCCTTCCTCCCATCTAGCACACTTTACTCAGAGTTGCTGAACTGAAGTATAAGTTAAGAAGTAATCGATATGATTAAGCCAAAATAACCAAGTTATCAATAATCGATATTCTTAATCTTGTCAAGCATATTTGTATTTCTTTAAAAAGGGGCTACTGTTACTCAAAATTAATTTGTTAAAATTTCAAATAGGGGGACTTCCCTGGTGGTTCAGTGTCTAATACTCCACGGTCCCAATGCAGGGGGCCCAGGTTCGATACCTGGTCAGAAAACTAGATCCCACATGCTGCTACTAAGAGTTTGCATACTGCAACTAAAGATCCCTTGTGCCACAGCTAAGACCCAGTGCAGCCAAATAAATTTATTAATTAAATAAATACTTTAAAATATTTTTCAAGTAGGATGACAAAGTGAAGAATTTTAGAGAGTATAAGGTAGTTACTTTTTTAAATGTATTAAATGACATCACTCAAGTAGTCTGTGGATCTGATCATGGTTCATTTAAAGATAAACAGAGGGCTTACAGACAAGACAACTTATCCATCAATTAAACAGATTTTAGTTGAACTACTTTTGTGTGAATACGTAAAGCATACAGACCCATTACAAATGTGATTAACAGAGTCACAATGAGATTTATAATGTTACCAAATATGGCTAGCACACCCCAAGGGGAACCTCAGTCACCTCTCCCTGCATTTTTGGGGGGTGGAGGCAAAAGCAATGATTTGTTTCTAACCAATAGACTATGGTAAAGGTGATGGAATATGAATGCCTTTAATTAGGTTATATAAGACATCATCTTAGCAGAATGAGAGATAGAGAGACAGAGACACAGACATAGAGAGAGAGAGACTCTCTATTGCTGGTTTTGAAGATTTAAGCTTCTATGTTGTGAGAAGGTCTGAGAGAGAATGATATGGCGAGGACCTGCGTGACCTCTAAGAGCTAAGAGGAGCCCTCAACTAGAGCCAGGAAGAAAGTAAAACCTCAGTCCTAGAACCAAAAGGAATTAAATTCTGCCAAGAACACGTGAGTTTGGAAGAGGACCTCATGCTCTGGAAAAGAATATAATCTGGCAGATACCTTGATTGAAGTCTTCTGAGACATGAACAGCTAAATTTTGTTCAGAGAGATAATAAATGTATGTTGTTTCAAGCCACTATATTTATGTAATTTGTTACACAGTAATAGAAAACAAATTCACTCATATACCAAGGAGACAAGAAGATAAAATTCATGTCTGTAGAACAGTCATAGATTGTGGATTTAGCACATTCATTGCTCTTTTACTTACTAGTTTATCATATCCACTTCAAAGCATTGATGTGAGGATTCAATCAGAAATCTTACGTGTAGATTTTAAGGCTTTGTGTGAATATTAAACATCTCATAAAAGTGAGTTTCCTCCTCATTTAGTCTGCTATTTAACTCAGTGGGTGTCACAGCCCCACTCATTGGCAGCAGTCAAGACCCTCATTCTGAAGAGTCACATTTGGATAATTCTGAGCCACTGAAAGTGGGAGCTTGCAGTACTTCAGGATCTCCTCTGCCCACCCACCCACCCATTTTGTCACATGTGAGTGAGGAGTGGGTTCTGGAGATGACCACTGTCCCAGCATCTATTGTTACAGTATTTGGAGACTGGTTGTTAATATGGACTCCACTGAGGTCCACATCAGGATGTAGCAGTAGCTTCTTTGTTCATTCTCCCTTGTGTTTAGATAACCTTCTACCATGACCCCTTTTCACTTCAGTCCATTGCTCACATGGTGCTTGGCTCTCATCCATTTCTTGTTTCCATCCTGACTTGAATGTAGATTTACTTCCTAGTATTTTGACACTTTGCTGGAGAAACATAGCCACTTAAGTTCCTCCTGCATCTAAGATAAGAACTTTTTGTTATCCAGAAACTGCTACCTTTTAATTTTCAGAAAGATAAGGATTGAAAATCCATTGAAAATTCTGCAGCCCAGCACAATCTGAAATCAGCAGTGAGTGATTCATGGGTTTCTAGACACTTAAAATTTTTAATCCAGTACATGTTTTATTCAACATTATGGTTGACATTTCATTAAGAATGAAAATGGCTGTAGCATCCTATAGCTCCAATAACTTTTAGTGCTGTAGTGATTTTTCTAACAAGTATATTTTTAACACATTCACTGAACACATTCTAGTTACATTTCCTATTTTTTACAGTTTACCAGTTTAACTGTACCCCTGTATGGCAGGTGGTTATGATGTCCCTCTCTACAATTCCCTCACACATGCTTTCCTATAAAGTAACTAGTCTTTGCTGTTTAATTTTTGTCATTCTTATAAGTAAAAGCATCAGAAATCTGACCATTCTCAAATTTCCTGGAAGCTCTGACCATATTTTCTCAAACTTGCAATTAAAATTGAAGAAAAGTACTTATGGCATAGAATTCATAGTGTATTTCTCTAAACATAAATACCAGATTTGTCATTTCTCAACCACCCTACTGGTCTTTTAGCCTCAATTCTAGTATGATACTTTTACTTCTGGCTTTGTTTCTATTGTCAGTCTCAATTCCAGTATCCAACACTGTTCCATGGTTTCCTTTCAACTTTAGTTGTATTCACAAATCCAATACCATCTCTAATAACAAGCCTCCACCCAGATTTAATCTCCCTTTTCTCCATCTTCATCACCTTCAGGCAGTGGTACCCCAGGCACAGCACAAAGCACTCCAGAAAATTAAAGAGAATATGAGGTAAGTTTATTTAAAGGCTCTTTGTTGGGGAAGACAGTTTAAATTTGTGAAGGACTGCCTAACCATAAGTTAGTGAAATCTTAAACATAATTTTGGTTTAGCATAATCAGTAAATAACACCTATTTTGCTTGCAACTTAAAATTAAGATGATGTGCCACAATTGGATATAGTACCAACATATCTATTCTATGCCATGAAGACTGAATTGATGAAAATTGCACTCATCTAGAATCAGTCTCCAGTATTTCCAGCTCTCCTGAATCAATCATTAGTGCTAGTTTGTAAATAAAGTACACTTAGGTGCAAACAACTAACTTTAAAAAATCTATTCAAAAGAATTATTCAACTACAAGAAGTACTATATTTAAAATACTTACAAATTCTTTAAAATAGCCATGAATTCTACTAACTTCTCTTCAGATTTTTTTGTTCCATATAAAGTATGGCCACCACGTGCTTTTTTAACATGGACAGATATGTTGTGAGAATCATCAGGTTGTTGGGATTTACTTTCTGCTGTGCCTTCAGCAGGTTTCCTAAACAAGGAAGCATAATATTTTATGGTGTTGTGTTTTGTATAAAAATTGCTGACATGACTTTTTACTGTCAAGAGTAGAAATGCACTGTTCTGAAGTAATTTGGCATTTTAATAATATATTCTTTCTCAATGCTTGTTTTTTTTCCAGTCATTAATAATGCAATTAAACACATATATAAAATATTTTGGGGGGCTTCCCTGTTGGTGCAGTGGTTGAGAGTCCGCCTGCCGATGCAGAGGACACGGGTTCGTGCCCCGGTCCGGGAAGATCCCACGTGCCGCGGAGCGGCTAGGGCCGTGAGCCATGGCCGCTGAGCCTGCGTGTCCGGAGCCTGTGCTCCACGACGGGAGGGGCCACAATAGTGAGAGGCCAGCGTACCGCAAAAAAAAAAAAAAAGAAAGAAAAGAAAATATTTTCTATGAACAGAATTTGGTTATAGGTATTACATAACAATCCCAAGTGATTGAAACATCTTCCATAATAAATTAGGTGCATATATTTAGGGACATATTTCAAGTCAATGTTCACCCTTCTTTTACACTCTTACAGTTGTTTTTCAGTGTTTTGTGGGGATTTTTGTTGTTGTTTTGTTTTGTTTTGTTTTATTCGGTACGTGGGCCTCTCACTGTTGTGGCCTCTCCCGTTGCGGAGCACAGGCTCCGGATGCGCAGGCTCAGCGGCCATGGCTCACGGGCCCAGCCGCTCCACGGCATGTGGGATCTTCCCGGACCGGGGTACAAACCCGTGTCCCCTGCATCGGCAGGCGGACTCTCAACCACTGCGCCACCAAGGGAAGCCCCGGTTTTGGGGGTTTTTTTGACACCAATGATAAAAGTAATTTTTTTTAACTTTTGTTTCCAACTGGTAAATTATGAACGTCTTGGAAGCAGCCACCATACTTCATTCTTGTGCTATAGTATATTACACAACTAAGTCCCTAAGAGATGTGTGAATGAATAACCATTTCCCATTTATCCTTCCAGCTCAGAGCTTTCCTATTAAGAGGTCACTAAAAACCTAAGGAAAAGCAATCTAACAAATGTTGTCCATCCTTAAAAAAAATAGTGGAGGAGATGCTAAAAATCCAAATGATCATAGATTAGTCACCTTTAATTAATACATGAAAAGATTTTTTTGTTAAATATAAGATAAACATTATGTGGAATAACAATAACAATCATCACATTAACATCTAAAATATACCTGAGTCCTTTTAAAAGTGCTGGCTACTATATTAAACATTATATACATATATCTCATTAACATTAACTAAGTGAAATAAACAATATGATCCCCAATTTAATAAGATGAGGAAATTGCAACTTAAAGAGTTTATATAATTTGTCTAACCACTCATATCCACTTTCCAGTAGAGGTGGAAAGAGTTTTTTGCAATCTAAAGTTCACAGAATATTAAAACTTAATAGCAAAACTTACTTATCTGATATATACAGAAGAAAAGATACTTTAGCATAACTTACAAAGATAAAATTAAGAGCCAAATTCCATTTCCCCTTCTACCACTTTCACAGAAGCTCAGCCATTCTATCCATAGAGACCTAGGACACTATTTAAAACTCTATTCCCAGTTATGTCTATAAATAGTAAGTACAGTAAAGCTCAGCAGTGGTTAAGATTCAGATATAAAGCAATTGGCTGCTTTCTTCCACCCAGCTCTGATTCTCAAATGCAAATGGAATAGAGTTCTTATCTTCTAGAGGAGACAGGTCTGTGGACTGGAGGGCAAGGTAGAGGTAGATATGGTAAACTTTGTGAGGGAAATTTAGAAAGTGAGTCCCCATAGACCCAGTATTCTTCTGGTTCAAGTTCATCATATTTGCCCAAGGCAAGAGATTCCTGGCATTCCTGCCTTTACATTGAAAATCACAAGGCAGCCAAAGGATTCAGAATAGTCCCCATTGATATTTAAGATATTTGAAGCCAAGCAGGGGATACCAAACCACCAAAAGCAACAGGAGGAAATAGATGGTCATATATATTAATTAATTAACTGATTGATTAAGCTGTATCCTATGCTCTTTGGGAAATGGTAGAAAATAATCCTCATCATTATATTTATATACTAAAACTAGCAACAATTCAATACATATAATCTAAATTTTTCAGTCATATAAAATTCAAAATCATTTTATGAGAGATTAATAAATGTGCAAGTTGCCAAGGCAAGTGGGAGTATAGGAGGTTGTGGACATGATTCACATCTTTTCTGGAGCTATGTTTGTAATCTCAGACTTCTCTATGTTTCTGTGTTTCACAATTACCTGTACCATTAAATTTTTAGTGAAATTTTATACTGGGTAAAATCTCTGATTCTCATAAGTCTAATTTGATAACTGAATCCTTTGTGTTATTCTCAGACCTCTAAAGATTTTTTTCTTTCATACAAGTCCTACTTGTTACATGATAAGATCCAAGATATGTAATATTTGCACTATTATGTTACTTGTATATATGTAATAATATTTCTGTAACTGATATGTTTAGGATTTTTTAAATAAAATTCAGTTTTATTGATCATTGTGGTAGCATAAACTATTTTTCTCTTTTCCTCAGTAATCAGCTACTTTAATAAGCTCTTTTTTTTTCAGTTGACCATCTTAAGGATTTTTTGGGTGGTAGATAAAAAGGTGTAGATGAAAATAAATGGAAAGAAATTTATTGCTTTAAATGCATATCATTTTTTGGAAAAACTAGTTGACAATCTATGAGCTAAGGGTCTATCTCAAAAAGTGAAAAAAGAAGAGCAACTTAACTCAAAATAAGTAGAAGTATATAAGTGTATAATAAAATTGGAACAAGCATATCTAATAAACTTGGCAAAACATTAGTCAAGTACAAAAAGAGAGAAGGCAGGAATAAATAATATCAGGAATGAAAAAGGAGACCTCATCACAGATCCCACAGAATAAAAGATTATACTATGAAAACTTTCATGCTAATAAACTTGAAAATTTAGGTGAAAGGAAAAAATAACTATAAAAGTACAAATTACCAAACTGACACAAGAAGAAATAGAAAATTTGAATTTTTCTAGATATTTTAAAGAATATAACTATTAAATAAGAATCTCCTCACAAAGAAACTCACAGCCAAAGTGGCCTTACTGATAAATTCTACAAACTCTTAATAAATGAATAAAACCAAACACTTCAAGAAAATAGAAAAGTCATATATACTTTCTGTCTAGTTTTATGATATCAACATAGTCTTGATATCAACATCTGGCAAGGATTTTACAAGAAACAAAAATTATAAGCCAATAACATGATGCAAAAATCTGGAGCAAAATATTAACAAACTGAATCCAGTGATAATTTTAAAAGATAATATAGCATAGCTTAGTTGAGGTTACACCGGGAATACTATTCCAGAAATGTTATTCAACACATTAACAGTACACAGGAGAAAAAATCATTAATAACTAAATAATATTTAATATGATACAATATTCATTTGTAATCAAAATCTTAGCAAACTGAACACAAGTGAATTTTCTTAATATGACAAAAGTATTTGCAAAAACTACAGTAGTTAGAGTGAAATATTAAAACTTTGCCTCTGGAATCAAAAACAAAATTTGCATACTGTTCTAACCTATTTAATACTATTGTGGAGGTCCTGGGCATTAAAATTAATATAGCTAAGAGTATAAGAATTGGAAAGGTCAAGTAAAGGTATTATTTTTTCAGATGACAAATAATATACATGGAAAAGCAAAATGAATCTACAGATACTAGAATCAATAAGAGAATTCAGTAAAGATGCTGAGTAAAAGTTTAATATACAAAACAACTATTGTATTTCTGTCTTTATGTTCCTTAATATCTAATGCAGGAAGGCACTAATAGAATAATCATTCTTGTAAATGTGCTATTGAAAGATGTTAAAAGTGATATGAAGAATTTATACACATTGTGAAAACAATGATAGGGTGCTTATCAGAGTGTAAAAGAATATAAAAACTTTGCTTGCCAGGAAAAGACAGTGTCTTTCAGAGAGAGAGATTTAAGCTGAGACATATAAGATGACAAAGAGTTAGACAAAAAATATTTCAGTAAGAAGCTAAAAGGAATTTTTCTGGAGAAGAAACTTCTAAAAATGCTAAATTTTACTCAAAAATATTTTTACCCTGCCATATAGGCATAGCCGCTGTTCAACAGATAAATATTCTCTATTAATCTATTCATACTTTTTTGGCATCACCATGTCCAATTATTTGTGAATTAATTTTTACTCCAAGTAAATGATATGGGTGCATGAAATTATTTATAGTATTGGATAGATACCATAGAACACTAGTAATTTTGTAACTCTATTCCTTTCTCTGCTATCGACTTTTAAATATTTTTGGCATTGTTTTGCATGTAAGCATGAATCAAGACAATGGCATCAAACTAGTAGCATCTAATTCCTCATTGTCACACATTTGCAGTTTTAATAAAACAGAAAAAAAGTAATTTTACTTAATCTTAACCCTTTGACCCTTGAGTACACTTCTTTGTGACACTTTGCGTGACAAAATGAGAATTGCAGATAAAGTATTTTTGTGGCATTCTAAAGAAATTTTTGTGTCAATAAAAGTGCTTCTACTAATGAGTTGCAAGCTGAATTATCCACTTTCTTCATTGTGCTGTATAGTTACTTGAAAGAACAACCAGCTACAATAATTGACTTGGATGTTTAGGATTTATTTTTTCAAAAATGAGTGAAGTGGGATTGTCAATTTGAGGAAGATAGAGCATTTGTTGCCAATGATAAAATGCAAGTTTCCAAGTGAAAATTAGCATTTTGGAAAACTTGTATTTACCTCTCTCTGTAAGTTTGACAGCTTCCCAGTACGTAAAGGCTTTTCTGATGAGATCAGTTGTGACATTAACAATATCACAATTGTGTTTTTTTCTAATATTACATAAAGAAACATGTCTACATTTGCAAGATCTGCATAGTTCAATGGACCAATGTTTTCCAAATGACCA